GGCTACTCAAATATTTTACGTTTTTGATACTAAATTAACTTCTGAAGTATAATTTTTTATTGTTTTTATATTTTTCAATATATTTATTTTGTTTGTACAAAATAAAAAAATAATTTTTAACGATACAATAGTCTTCGTTAGGCTTAACATCGACGAAAATTCAACACGAAGCGACACGCAACAGAGAAAAATTTCAACACGGGATAAATTAATATATTTTTCTGTACATAATTGGTTATCCGAAAAATAAGTTATCTGAACAACCCCAGTCCCCAATTGATTCAGATAAACGACGCTCTACTGTACATTTTATAAAAGCTATGCTTTTTATAAAAGCATAGTGACTGGAATAAAATACATCCATAGTGCTTTTATAAAAAGTGTAGGGATTCAATATGTTTTTTTAACAAAAAAGGAATGTATATCTTTAAATGATTGAGAACTACTAATCTATATACATCAATTTTTATTTTTTAAGACAGCTCTTTCTTTCTGGAAAGATTTTTATTCAATTTTTTTTTTCTTATTGAAAAGTTTACTACTGAACCTAACTTCAAACCTAAAGAGAAAATTTATTTGAAAACATGAAGTGGGAAATGCATGTTTATCAGTAGTTAGTTTGTTCTTATAGTACAAAATCAGCAATTGTGCATACAATTGCTAACTGAAAATATATTACTTATTATTTTAAATAGGAAAAACTGTAATGCATTATATAACTGTGTAAAAAATTCAATCAATTTTCTAAAATATAAATAAAACACACTAAAATATCTACATATAATTAAAAATTATAACAGTTTTAAGATTAAAATACAGGAGCTCCCCTACTTATTAATGTTCAACTTACAAACTTATGAACAATTTGACCTTACATATAAAATTTAAATTTTATGTGGATTCTGAAGTTGTCTTGCTGCTAGTGGGGTGTGTTGAAGTCAGTCTTTGATCAGTAATAAAATTTTTAATAAATAATTAATGCTGGCTTATTCCTGTTGTGTATTGAGATCATGTGTCATGTCTTGACTGGGGTTAGATTTAATGAAAATTTTACTTGTTGCTGGTATTTATAATATTTTTAAAAATTTATCTCTGAAAATTAAAAATCAAGCCTTTTTTTTGCTTTTTCATAATAATTAATAATATAAAAGTTTTATTTTTTAATAACATTTCATAACAGATGGTGCCACAAACAATTTTAACTATCAGCTAGTATCATAGAGCTTTTTAAACTTAAATATTTCTTAAATGGAGATTTTTATCATTACATCTTTTTAAGCTTTTTTATTACTTAAAATTTTATCTTAGTACAGTATAATTGAAAATCATTGGATTTCCTAATGGTTCTTTAACCTTCTGTTTGAATGCTGGAAAAGTCAAGTAAGAGTCCTTGCCAACTTTTTTTTTTATTGTAAATTACACTCTTTTCCATTAAGTCACAACTACATCTCTACTGGTCAAGCTTTTATAACAACTATATTGCTTTCACATTGGTAAAGACTATGTACAACGAAAAAAGAACTTACCTGTTGCATTTTTAAATTCTGCACTTCAGGAAATTGGTCTTGTGATATAGACTGTTATTGAAGAAAAACACATGCTACATTATATTTTTATTGCCTACAAACAGGACCATTTTAAGTACTTGAGATCTCTGGTTCAGTTTCTGTAGAGTCATTATGTAGACATACAATAGATATAGAGAATAAAAATATTGATGAAGCCATGGTAGAGTATGTTCATGCATGGGTATGGTACTGTTTACAGAGTATAGATATGATGTTTTTGTTTATTTATCATTGGTACATAGGAAAAGTCATGTAAGGACTACATATCTCCACCCATAGATAACAAGCAACCCCCCAAAAAAGACAAAAAAAAAAAAAATGATTAAAACAAGTAAAATAAAAACACAAATACAAAAAAGGCTAAGCATAGTATAAATTTCATTTACAAATATTTTTAAACCAAGAAAAAGTAACATGTAAAAAATAATCAAAATTAAACATACTTTTGCAAAATACGATAAAAATAAGATTACTGCAAGATCACTAATCTATAAAAAAGGCATGTAAATATGTGAAGAATATTATAAATTTCTTTGAGACATTCTTAAGTGCAGTCAACTGGACTGTATAAAACCATTAAAATATTTAAACTAAAAAAGCTGATCAAAATATTTAACTCTTAATTTAAAATTGGGAAGACTCAGTCTAGTGCTGGCAACATTTGGAGATTGAGTGTTAGGAAGGTTACAAAATCTATTTAGAAGCAGATATATTTTATTGAGTTTCTTGGAAATTTTGTTTAAAAGAGTTGGGGCCACTATGGCCCAGATCAACATACCATAGTTGGTAACAGATTGTAAGTTTTCAAAGAAAATAGAGTTAAAGTTTTCAATGAAAATGGTGTTTCTGTAAACCCGTTTTTCAAGGAAATGAGTTTACAGAAACACCAAAAGATATCCTGACATATGGTGAGAGATTTTATTATTTTGTCTATGTGGCTTTTAAATGTGAGCCTGTTATCCCAAATTATGCCAAGGTCATTAACCAAAGAAATGTATTTAATATTGCATGTGTTAATAGTGAGTGTAGGTTGAGGAATATTGCACAATAAAGAGTAGTTCATGATGATAGTTTTCTGTGGATTGATTTTTAAATTGGCTTTAGCAAGAAGAGTTGTAAGAAGATGCAGAGGTTATGGAAATGTATCAGGATCATAATTAATTAATTTGATATCATCTGCACAGGTAATTGTCATTGATTTAAGTTGACTTAATATATTGTTAATATAAACTGAAAAAAACAATTCACTCAAAATCAAGCCTTGTTGAATACTACAGGTCAAAGCAAAATTGGAAAATTCATAATCATCTAATTTAATTTTGTAGGTATGGGATAAGAAGTAATTATTTAACGAGGAGTAATAAACAGGGTCTGAATCAAAATGATCATGGAGTGCAGAAAGAAGGATGGAATCAAAGACTTGGCTAATATCAATATATACAATATAAAAGGATCACTTATTTTCGAAGTTATCAATAATTATAGATAGATTTGAGAATGTTGGTGGAGATTGAATGGTTAGAGACTAGAGTGGTAGATAGGTAGGAGTTTAGATATAATTGGGTAATAAAGTTGCAGTAAATACAAATTTCATGGATATTTAGCATGACAGGCAATAGAGTGATAGGGTGGAAGGAGTTTTTATTATTATTATTATTATTTTTTTTTTGGAATAGCTATTATAGTAGAGGGATACCACTGTTTCAGAACAAAGCTATGTTGAGTGAATAATCCAGAGAGAACTACTGCGGCCACTGGTTTTGATTTTTATAAAACAGGGTTGGAATAAAACATGTGTCTATGGCTTTGGAAACTTCAGAAAAAGAAAATAAATGGTAATATGTATAAGAATGATGAGAGAGCAGTTTATAATTGGCATGTTGTAAGATATTAGTAAATCTATTTTTAAAATTGTAAATGTCATAAATTTGATGGTCCAGAACAGTAGATGACTTGCATAGAATTTGTCCAGAGAAATTTGGAATGAAACCCCAAAAGATTCTAGGATCAGTAGTGAAGGAAGAGAGAATTTATTAAAGTATGATTGAAATGCCTTTCAATCACACTTTAATAAAATTCACAGTAATGTTGTGTTTGGATGACATGGAAAACGTAGAGATCACATGGATTTCCAGATTTTTTCCACTTATTCCATTGTTTTCTGAGATGATTCTTGAGTTTTTAAAATGATAGGAAAACCACTTATAGGACAAAACTTCAGTTTTATGGATTTGTAGGAATTCATTAAGAGTGGAAGTAAAAATTTTAAGACAGATCAGTAATAATGTTAGGGGCAGAGAAGAGGATTCTAAAAATGATCAGTAAAATGAGCAAAGGTGTTTATTAGCCTCTTTACAGTTGAAATGAGACCATAAAGATATACTGATAAACCATTTAAATTTATGAATTTTAATGTTACAAATGTAAACATTTCACCAAGATGATGCAATTCACTGACTGATGAGATCTATCTTCAGTTGAGATTTCTGTATAAACTAGAAAGTGGCATTGGAAGCTGCAGAAACATTCCCAAAAGACCACAGGCTGCTGATCCCTGATCTGAGGTAATTTTTACAGGGCAAGAATTGGATGTGGGCATAAGTGATCTATGACTTAGTTTAAGTGTTCCACAGATGATATAATTTTGAGGACCATTGATCTAAGTTTAGAAACTGAAATAAGCACTAAGCCAACTTTTCAGAAAATATGTTAATGCATCAAAATAAATTAATGCAATCAAATTTTCTATCATTATCATGACAGAAAATTTGATGCATTAATTTGGCATTTTATCAGTTTTTTTCATTAATTTGACATTAATTTTTTTATTTCTTTATTAAACATCTTTATAGAACTGAAATTTAATCAAGATTTTTTTTCTGTTAGACTGATGATAATTTAATACTGCTAAGAAAATTAATATAGCATTATTATGTACTATTTAAAAATACTTTTTATCAGAATTAAAAATTTATTTATTCATTTTTTTATTTTTGAATGTTAAGATAGTAATTTTTATTTACTTTAATGTTATTATTCTGAATTATTAATGTTATTATTTTTTTAATAAACAATTAACAATTCATTTAGTATTAATGTTGATAAAAATTGTAAAATGTTTTAACTGTCATAATTCCTATTTTCTAGCTTTGATTTTAATAAAATATTTTAAGCATTTATTTTTATAGATTTATAATTATTATTAAATAGTTCTTTCAGTTTTTGTGTTTGAAATCAGTAGTTCCTAACTTTTCAGGTTAAGACAAAAAGTTATGAGAGGTTTGAGGTAGAATCATAGGAGGATTTATTTGCAAGTTTTGATATAATTTTTATAATTATGAAAAAAATTTGTAAATAAATTTAAACAGAATGATAAAAAGAAAATATATGTAATTATTGAAACTGTATTTATAAATTTTAAACATTCTGAAGCAATTATTGGGTTGATGTGAAAGTTTTTGGAATTTTCTAGACCTTTGTAGAATATTTGAAATTGTTCTCTGGCAGATGGCATTTAGAAGTTTCCTGTGGAGTATGTTATGTAAATGAAGGGTGTTTGAGGTGCACAATCTTAAGTTAAAAGATATTCTATGTGATGAAATATATACAAAAATGACCAACTTTGTTGTGTGGAGGCATGCACTGAACTTTTTTCTAAGAAACATTTCTATTTTTGGCTTGATGCCATCATTACAGGAGTTGAAAAATAGTGCTTGTACAGGTATCTTATTTTAAAGTGCAAAAGGTCATGGTTGGACATCAGTCAAGCAGTACAGGCTGTGCCAAACTGGAAGTGCATTAGCACAAGGTTATGCTATGTACAGTACAGTATTTACTGGAGTGTTTGTGAATCAGTCTATTGGGAGATGCTTCCATGAGTATCACTATAATTTCCAAAATCTACTATGCTCAGCTGCAACATTGATTGATGCTATACATACTAAGTGGCCACAGATGAACATTGTGTGCTTTCTTTATTACAATGCAAGACCACATGTGTCAAGGCTGACCCTGCAGAAGCTGCTTGATTTTAGCTGGGAGGTTCTCTTTCACCCCTGTATAGCCCAGACATTGCACCATCCAACTTCCATCTCTTCTGTACCATGCAACATTTCTTGGATGGAAAGCAATTTGCTGATGATAAGGAGATGAAAATTGTACTTTCAGAGTTTTGAGTCTAACAGTCTGAGTTTTATTCAGCAGAAATCTGTGATCTGCCAATTAATGGAAGAAGGTGCTTTTGAGTGTAATGGCAATTATTTTTTTTTTAATAAAATACTTTTTGTTTTTGAAATAATTGTTGTACTGTAAAACTCTAGAAAATTCTGGAAACTTCTGCATAAACCCAATACATTTTAAATAAATAATGAACATATTTTATTATGTAATACAGGATGTCCCAGCTCAGTCAGGATTTTAATTTTTAATATTTTTTGAACAACTCATTTAAGCTGAAGTGCTTTTCTTTGGTTTCATCATTTGTCTAGAAAAGACATTTTGTTCTTGTAAAACATGATGTCTATGTGAATTAGTACTGAACAACCTATCTATATTCATAAAGCCATTTTCATTATATTTTGTTTGTGCAGGATGAGGCTGCATTTCACGCAGCAAACAAGGCTTTGCTTTTTTTTTTAAACACAGAATTCAAAGAGACTGTGATTTTTCTTCACTATCTTTTCTGGATAGTAATGATAAATCACAGTTTCTTTGAATTCCATGTCCTAACCACTAATGTCTCCAGACACTAATCCTTGTGATTATTATTTTTGTCTAGGGCTTCTTAAAATATTACATATTTAGACACTATATAACAAGCTTTGAAGACTTGAGAATCTGCATAATTCAAGCTTTGAAACCTTTTATATCAAAAGTATTCAATTGTGTTATCAGGAATGTGTACAGTTACACAAATTGATGTTTCACAAAAGCAGGCACATTGAACATTTCATCTAAAATAAATAAGTGTATATATTAAATTATAATAGACAAAGCTTCCGTTTATTAAAAAAAACTGATGTTTAGCTTGATTTTTTTTCAGATGATATTGAAAATTAAAATCCTGACTTTCAGCTAGGACACCTTGTGCACTTAAAGCCATAATATTTCTAATGTTTATTTCACACACACTGAAAATTTCTTATTAATGTTATAGTATTGAATAGTAACATTTAAAAATTTAATATTTATTTAAAATTATATGTTATACTGTGTTTAAGGAAAAGCATTGTATCAGTTTGTTTATAGTAAATAACACTGGTTGTCTTTTCAGTGGTGGATGTCATGGGTCACTTATAATTTACTATTACAGGGTCATAAATATAAAAGGTTGACCTATTTTAAATGAAAAAAAGTACTTTATTTTTATAAAATGAAATTGGAAAGACAATAAAAATTTATTTATTTAATTAGATTGTGATATGAAAGAACAAGTAGAAGGTTGCTTAAATATGCCACCTACATACCATACAGTTGTCTCCAGAGCCCAATTAGCACAGGTATTATGAGTTTTAAATGTTTAAATTAATTTGTAAAGTTAATCCTTGTTATTTATTTTCAATTAGCTTTAGATAATTTATGAATTAATCATTTTGAATTATGAATTTTGAATTAAAATATGTTTGAAAGCAGTTAATTTCTTAAGTTACATATTAAACTAAATTAATTGCATTAAATACACAATAATTTAAAGAAATTATTATAATTTTCAAATTGCAATAATAATTTCAAAAAATACTTTATGGTAGTGTGGTTATATTCTCTGTTTTTCATCTATCCTTAATCTTGAGAACAGATAGATGAAAATCTAGACCAGATATGGAAAGCTTAGTTAATAGAACCCTCTGGCCTCTGGTCAATATTAACTATATACAATCTTCTGGTCTGGACCAGAAATCATAGGATTTTTTAAATTAAAATATGATTAGAAATTGCAGCATTGTGCAATGTTATAATAAGTAATTGTTTAATTTTAACTTTTAACTAAATGTAAGTTTTTAAGTTTCTCAAGAAGTGAATTTCTTATTTTCAGAAGCATTAAATTAATACTCTATTATTCTTAATAGAGTATTAATACCCTATTAATACTCTATTATTCTTAATAGGGTATTAATACTCTATTATTCTTAATAGAGTATTAATACCCTATTAATACTCTATTATTCTTAATAGAGTATTAATACCCTATTAAGAATAATAGAGTATTAATACTATTAAGAGTAATTAGAGTACTAATACTCTATTATTCTTAATAGAGTCTTAATACTCTTATTAATTTTATTTCATATGTATTGACATGAAATTAAAATCTTCTTTTACATCAATAATTATCTTTTTAACATTATTAGAAAAATTGTCTTAGTAAAATTTCAAGAGTGATTTGCTGAAAATTTAGATAAATTATCATAACGTTAATTATAAGAGTATTATAATTAAAAGTATTATTTAGATATATTGCTTTAATTTTTTTACTACAGCATTTTTATGATCTTGCTAAAAATCAGAGGGTTTCTTGTGAAAGATTAGTATATGACCAACACCTTCAACAACAAGGTTGGGCTGCAGTTGTGGCAAATTTAGAAGATATTGCCAGGTAAATATTATGATTTATTTATTTCTATTTTTGACAGACAAAACAGAATAAATTTGGATTTAATCCATTATATATTCTGTTATTACTGAAATTATATATATATAATTTCAGTAATATATATATATATACAGGGTNTTTCAAAACGGGATAAATTAATATATTTTTCTGTACATAATTGGTTATCCGAAAAATAAGTTATCTGAACAACCCCAGTCCCCAATTGATTCAGATAAACGACGCTCTACTGTACATTTTATAAAAGCTATGCTTTTTATAAAAGCATAGTGACTGGAATAAAATACATCCATAGTGCTTTTATAAAAAGTGTAGGGATTCAATATGTTTTTTTAACAAAAAAGGAATGTATATCTTTAAATGATTGAGAACTACTAATCTATATACATCAATTTTTATTTTTTAAGACAGCTCTTTCTTTCTGGAAAGATTTTTATTCAATTTTTTTTTTCTTATTGAAAAGTTTACTACTGAACCTAACTTCAAACCTAAAGAGAAAATTTATTTGAAAACATGAAGTGGGAAATGCATGTTTATCAGTAGTTAGTTTGTTCTTATAGTACAAAATCAGCAATTGTGCATACAATTGCTAACTGAAAATATATTACTTATTATTTTAAATAGGAAAAACTGTAATGCATTATATAACTGTGTAAAAAATTCAATCAATTTTCTAAAATATAAATAAAACACACTAAAATATCTACATATAATTAAAAATTATAACAGTTTTAAGATTAAAATACAGGAGCTCCCCTACTTATTAATGTTCAACTTACAAACTTATGAACAATTTGACCTTACATATAAAATTTAAATTTTATGTGGATTCTGAAGTTGTCTTGCTGCTAGTGGGGTGTGTTGAAGTCAGTCTTTGATCAGTAATAAAATTTTTAATAAATAATTAATGCTGGCTTATTCCTGTTGTGTATTGAGATCATGTGTCATGTCTTGACTGGGGTTAGATTTAATGAAAATTTTACTTGTTGCTGGTATTTATAATATTTTTAAAAATTTATCTCTGAAAATTAAAAATCAAGCCTTTTTTTTGCTTTTTCATAATAATTAATAATATAAAAGTTTTATTTTTTAATAACATTTCATAACAGATGGTGCCACAAACAATTTTAACTATCAGCTAGTATCATAGAGCTTTTTAAACTTAAATATTTCTTAAATGGAGATTTTTATCATTACATCTTTTTAAGCTTTTTTATTACTTAAAATTTTATCTTAGTACAGTATAATTGAAAATCATTGGATTTCCTAATGGTTCTTTAACCTTCTGTTTGAATGCTGGAAAAGTCAAGTAAGAGTCCTTGCCAACTTTTTTTTTTATTGTAAATTACACTCTTTTCCATTAAGTCACAACTACATCTCTACTGGTCAAGCTTTTATAACAACTATATTGCTTTCACATTGGTAAAGACTATGTACAACGAAAAAAGAACTTACCTGTTGCATTTTTAAATTCTGCACTTCAGGAAATTGGTCTTGTGATATAGACTGTTATTGAAGAAAAACACATGCTACATTATATTTTTATTGCCTACAAACAGGACCATTTTAAGTACTTGAGATCTCTGGTTCAGTTTCTGTAGAGTCATTATGTAGACATACAATAGATATAGAGAATAAAAATATTGATGAAGCCATGGTAGAGTATGTTCATGCATGGGTATGGTACTGTTTACAGAGTATAGATATGATGTTTTTGTTTATTTATCATTGGTACATAGGAAAAGTCATGTAAGGACTACATATCTCCACCCATAGATAACAAGCAACCCCCCAAAAAAGACAAAAAAAAAAAAAATGATTAAAACAAGTAAAATAAAAACACAAATACAAAAAAGGCTAAGCATAGTATAAATTTCATTTACAAATATTTTTAAACCAAGAAAAAGTAACATGTAAAAAATAATCAAAATTAAACATACTTTTGCAAAATACGATAAAAATAAGATTACTGCAAGATCACTAATCTATAAAAAAGGCATGTAAATATGTGAAGAATATTATAAATTTCTTTGAGACATTCTTAAGTGCAGTCAACTGGACTGTATAAAACCATTAAAATATTTAAACTAAAAAAGCTGATCAAAATATTTAACTCTTAATTTAAAATTGGGAAGACTCAGTCTAGTGCTGGCAACATTTGGAGATTGAGTGTTAGGAAGGTTACAAAATCTATTTAGAAGCAGATATATTTTATTGAGTTTCTTGGAAATTTTGTTTAAAAGAGTTGGGGCCACTATGGCCCAGATCAACATACCATAGTTGGTAACAGATTGTAAGTTTTCAAAGAAAATAGAGTTAAAGTTTTCAATGAAAATGGTGTTTCTGTAAACCCGTTTTTCAAGGAAATGAGTTTACAGAAACACCAAAAGATATCCTGACATATGGTGAGAGATTTTATTATTTTGTCTATGTGGCTTTTAAATGTGAGCCTGTTATCCCAAATTATGCCAAGGTCATTAACCAAAGAAATGTATTTAATATTGCATGTGTTAATAGTGAGTGTAGGTTGAGGAATATTGCACAATAAAGAGTAGTTCATGATGATAGTTTTCTGTGGATTGATTTTTAAATTGGCTTTAGCAAGAAGAGTTGTAAGAAGATGCAGAGGTTATGGAAATGTATCAGGATCATAATTAATTAATTTGATATCATCTGCACAGGTAATTGTCATTGATTTAAGTTGACTTAATATATTGTTAATATAAACTGAAAAAAACAATTCACTCAAAATCAAGCCTTGTTGAATACTACAGGTCAAAGCAAAATTGGAAAATTCATAATCATCTAATTTAATTTTGTAGGTATGGGATAAGAAGTAATTATTTAACGAGGAGTAATAAACAGGGTCTGAATCAAAATGATCATGGAGTGCAGAAAGAAGGATGGAATCAAAGACTTGGCTAATATCAATATATACAATATAAAAGGATCACTTATTTTCGAAGTTATCAATAATTATAGATAGATTTGAGAATGTTGGTGGAGATTGAATGGTTAGAGACTAGAGTGGTAGATAGGTAGGAGTTTAGATATAATTGGGTAATAAAGTTGCAGTAAATACAAATTTCATGGATATTTAGCATGACAGGCAATAGAGTGATAGGGTGGAAGGAGTTTTTATTATTATTATTATTATTTTTTTTTTGGAATAGCTATTATAGTAGAGGGATACCACTGTTTCAGAACAAAGCTATGTTGAGTGAATAATCCAGAGAGAACTACTGCGGCCACTGGTTTTGATTTTTATAAAACAGGGTTGGAATAAAACATGTGTCTATGGCTTTGGAAACTTCAGAAAAAGAAAATAAATGGTAATATGTATAAGAATGATGAGAGAGCAGTTTATAATTGGCATGTTGTAAGATATTAGTAAATCTATTTTTAAAATTGTAAATGTCATAAATTTGATGGTCCAGAACAGTAGATGACTTGCATAGAATTTGTCCAGAGAAATTTGGAATGAAACCCCAAAAGATTCTAGGATCAGTAGTGAAGGAAGAGAGAATTTATTAAAGTATGATTGAAATGCCTTTCAATCACACTTTAATAAAATTCACAGTAATGTTGTGTTTGGATGACATGGAAAACGTAGAGATCACATGGATTTCCAGATTTTTTCCACTTATTCCATTGTTTTCTGAGATGATTCTTGAGTTTTTAAAATGATAGGAAAACCACTTATAGGACAAAACTTCAGTTTTATGGATTTGTAGGAATTCATTAAGAGTGGAAGTAAAAATTTTAAGACAGATCAGTAATAATGTTAGGGGCAGAGAAGAGGATTCTAAAAATGATCAGTAAAATGAGCAAAGGTGTTTATTAGCCTCTTTACAGTTGAAATGAGACCATAAAGATATACTGATAAACCATTTAAATTTATGAATTTTAATGTTACAAATGTAAACATTTCACCAAGATGATGCAATTCACTGACTGATGAGATCTATCTTCAGTTGAGATTTCTGTATAAACTAGAAAGTGGCATTGGAAGCTGCAGAAACATTCCCAAAAGACCACAGGCTGCTGATCCCTGATCTGAGGTAATTTTTACAGGGCAAGAATTGGATGTGGGCATAAGTGATCTATGACTTAGTTTAAGTGTTCCACAGATGATATAATTTTGAGGACCATTGATCTAAGTTTAGAAACTGAAATAAGCACTAAGCCAACTTTTCAGAAAATATGTTAATGCATCAAAATAAATTAATGCAATCAAATTTTCTATCATTATCATGACAGAAAATTTGATGCATTAATTTGGCATTTTATCAGTTTTTTTCATTAATTTGACATTAATTTTTTTATTTCTTTATTAAACATCTTTATAGAACTGAAATTTAATCAAGATTTTTTTTCTGTTAGACTGATGATAATTTAATACTGCTAAGAAAATTAATATAGCATTATTATGTACTATTTAAAAATACTTTTTATCAGAATTAAAAATTTATTTATTCATTTTTTTATTTTTGAATGTTAAGATAGTAATTTTTATTTACTTTAATGTTATTATTCTGAATTATTAATGTTATTATTTTTTTAATAAACAATTAACAATTCATTTAGTATTAATGTTGATAAAAATTGTAAAATGTTTTAACTGTCATAATTCCTATTTTCTAGCTTTGATTTTAATAAAATATTTTAAGCATTTATTTTTATAGATTTATAATTATTATTAAATAGTTCTTTCAGTTTTTGTGTTTGAAATCAGTAGTTCCTAACTTTTCAGGTTAAGACAAAAAGTTATGAGAGGTTTGAGGTAGAATCATAGGAGGATTTATTTGCAAGTTTTGATATAATTTTTATAATTATGAAAAAAATTTGTAAATAAATTTAAACAGAATGATAAAAAGAAAATATATGTAATTATTGAAACTGTATTTATAAATTTTAAACATTCTGAAGCAATTATTGGGTTGATGTGAAAGTTTTTGGAATTTTCTAGACCTTTGTAGAATATTTGAAATTGTTCTCTGGCAGATGGCATTTAGAAGTTTCCTGTGGAGTATGTTATGTAAATGAAGGGTGTTTGAGGTGCACAATCTTAAGTTAAAAGATATTCTATGTGATGAAATATATACAAAAATGACCAACTTTGTTGTGTGGAGGCATGCACTGAACTTTTTTCTAAGAAACATTTCTATTTTTGGCTTGATGCCATCATTACAGGAGTTGAAAAATAGTGCTTGTACAGGTATCTTATTTTAAAGTGCAAAAGGTCATGGTTGGACATCAGTCAAGCAGTACAGGCTGTGCCAAACTGGAAGTGCATTAGCACAAGGTTATGCTATGTACAGTACAGTATTTACTGGAGTGTTTGTGAATCAGTCTATTGGGAGATGCTTCCATGAGTATCACTATAATTTCCAAAATCTACTATGCTCAGCTGCAACATTGATTGATGCTATACATACTAAGTGGCCACAGATGAACATTGTGTGCTTTCTTTATTACAATGCAAGACCACATGTGTCAAGGCTGACCCTGCAGAAGCTGCTTGATTTTAGCTGGGAGGTTCTCTTTCACCCCTGTATAGCCCAGACATTGCACCATCCAACTTCGATCTCTTCTGTACCATGCAACATTTCTTGGATGGAAAGCAATTTGCTGATGATAAGGAGATGAAAATTGTACTTTCAGAGTTTTGAGTCTAACAGTCTGAGTTTTATTCAGCAGAAATCTGTGATCTGCCAATTAATGGAAGAAGGTGCTTTTGAGTGTAATGGCAATTATTTTTTTTTTAATAAAATACTTTTTGTTTTTGAAATAATTGTTGTACTGTAAAACTCTAGAAAATTCTGGAAACTTCTGCATAAACCCAATACATTTTAAATAAATAATGAACATATTTTATTATGTAATACAGGATGTCCCAGCTCAGTCAGGATTTTAATTTTTAATATTTTTTGAACAACTCATTTAAGCTGAAGTGCTTTTCTTTGGTTTCATCATTTGTCTAGAAAAGACATTTTGTTCTTGTAAAACATGATGTCTATGTGAATTAGTACTGAACAACCTATCTATATTCATAAAGCCATTTTCATTATATTTTGTTTGTGCAGGATGAGGCTGCATTTCACGCAGCAAACAAGGCTTTGCTTTTTTTTTTAAACACAGAATTCAAAGAGATTGTGATTTTTCTTCACTATCTTTTCTGGATAGTAATGATAAATCACAGTTTCTTTGAATTCCATGTCCTAACCACTAATGTCTCCAGACACTAATCCTTGTGATTATTATTTTTGTCTAGGGCTTCTTAAAATATTACATATTTAGACACTATATAACAAGCTTTGAAGACTTGAGAATCTGCATAATTCAAGCTTTGAAACCTTTTATATCAAAAGTATTCAATTGTGTTATCAGGAATGTGTACAGTTACACAAATTGATGTTTCACAAAAGCAGGCACATTGAACATTTCATCTAAAATAAATAAGTGTATATATTAAATTATAATAGACAAAGCTTCCGTTTATTAAAAAAAACTGATGTTTAGCTTGATTTTTTTTCAGATGATATTGAAAATTAAAATCCTGACTTTCAGCTAGGACACCTTGTGCACTTAAAGCCATAATATTTCTAATGTTTATTTCACACACACTGAAAATTTCTTATTAATGTTATAGTATTGAATAGTAACATTTAAAAATTTAATATTTATTTAAAATTATATGTTATACTGTGTTTAAGGAAAAGCATTGTATCAGTTTGTTTATAGTAAATAACACTGGTTGTCTTTTCAGTGGTGGATGTCATGGGTCACTTATAATTTACTATTACAGGGTCATAAATATAAAAGGTTGACCTATTTTAAATGAAAAAAAGTACTTTATTTTTATAAAATGAAATTGGAAAGACAATAAAAATTTATTTATTTAATTAGATTGTGATATGAAAGAACAAGTAGAAGGTTGCTTAAATATGCCACCTACATACCATACAGTTGTCTCCAGAGCCCAATTAGCACAGGTATTATGAGTTTTAAATGTTTAAATTAATTTGTAAAGTTAATCCTTGTTATTTATTTTCAATTAGCTTTAGATAATTTATGAATTAATCATTTTGAATTATGAATTTTGAATTAAAATATGTTTGAAAGCAGTTAATTTCTTAAGTTACATATTAAACTAAATTAATTGCATTAAATACACAATAATTTAAAGAAATTATTATAATTTTCAAATTCCAATAATAATTTCAAAAAATACTTTATGGTAGTGTGGTTATATTCTCTGTTTTTCATCTATCCTTAATCTTGAGAACAGATAGATGAAAATCTAGACCAGATATGGAAAGCTTAGTTAATAGAACCCTCTGGCCTCTGGTCAATATTAACTATATACAATCTTCTGGTCTGGACCAGAAATCATAGGATTTTTTAAATTAAAATATGATTAGAAATTGCAGCATTGTGCAATGTTATAATAAGTAATTGTTTAATTTTAACTTTTAACTAAATGTAAGTTTTTAAGTTTCTCAAGAAGTGAATTTCTTATTTTCAGAAGCATTAAATTAATACTCTATTATTCTTAATAGAGTATTAATACCCTATTAAGAATAATAGAGTATTAATACTATTAAGAGTAATTAGAGTACTAATACTCTATTATTCTTAATAGAGTCTTAATACTCTATTAATTTTATTTCATATGTATTGACATGAAATTAAAATCTTCTTTTACATCAATAATTATCTTTTTAACATTATTAGAAAAATTGTCTTAGTAAAATTTCAAGAGTGATTTGCTGAAAATTTAGATAAATTATCATAACGTTAATTATAAGAGTATTATAATTAAAAGTATTATTTAGATATATTGCTTTAATTTTTTTACTACAGCATTTTTATGATCTTGCTAAAAATCAGAGGGTTTCTTGTGAAAGATTAGTATATGACCAACACCTTCAACAACAAGGTTGGGCTGCAGTTGTGGCAAATTTAGAAGATATTGCCAGGTAAATATTATGATTTATTTATTTCTATTTTTGACAGACAAAACAGAATAAATTTGGATTTAATCCATTATATATTCTGTTATTACTGAAATTATATATATATAATTTCAGTAATATATATATATATACAGGGTGACCCAACAAAAACGAAACGGCGGAGTTATCGTGTTCGTCCAAGCAAATTGCTTGGACAGGTCGATTTTAATCTCAAGGGGGACATTTTTTGCAATGAAGTTTTTGCGATTCTGAATACAACAGACAACAAAATTTTTAAAAACTTATTCATTTTTTATTAACTAAACAAACATTTACTTCGGCAAAAAGTAACACAAACTATTAAAAAACATAAAAAACCTTTTAAGCTAGACTGCACATGCAAGGAAAAATAAGTTGATCATAAAATTAAGGTTGATAATGTGTTATCTGTTTCCAAATGTCATACCTGTATTTTGTAGTGTTCACATTAAGCTTGACCACATAGTGATTCAATTCGAATTTAAGATTATTATTTGTTTATTGTGAATTTTTGTACACATAATCGTTATGGTTTACACAATTGCTGAAAGGTAACTCTTCATTTCAGAAATGGCGAGAATGCTCATCTTACTGCAAATTTATTTAATCAACGTTATCCAAACAAACATTGTAATGCAAAATACATTCTAGAGTTGGTTCAAAAGTTTAAGTTAACGGGTTCTGTGGCTAACAAAAAACGCACTCCCGGACGTGAACTTCCAGTAAGAAACGAAGCGACAGAGATTGAGATTTTGGGGCAAGTTGCTGCAGACCCAACTTTAAGTATAAGGAAGCTGGAGGCTGTGACTAGCATAAGCAGAACATCTATTTGCCGGATCCTCAAAACTCACAAGTTTCATCCGTACAAAATTAATTTAGTTCACCAATTAAATAAAAATGATTTTGATCGGCGACAACGGTTTTGTGAAATTATGACAGAAAGATTAAGAGTTGACGTGGATTATCTTTTTAACATTTGTTTTTCCGACGAGTGCACGTTTTTTTTAAACTCAACGGTTAATCGTCACAATTGTCGATATTAGTCAGATAATAACCCAAGCATATTTTGTGAAGTTCATAGCCAAACTCCACAAAAACTAAATGTGTGGGCCGGAATCTTTGGAGATCGAGTACTTGGCCCCATTTTCCTAGGTGGTAATCTAATGGGAGAAAGTTATTTAGATTTACTTGAAAATGTTGTACATCCATTACTTGTTGATATCGTCGAACATGACGACCGATACTTAGAAGACCACCTTACTTTCCAACAAGATGGAGCCCCCCCGCATTATGCAAGGCCAGTTACAGAATTTTTGAACACGGTTTTTCCTGGGCATTGGATCGGACGTAGAGGTCCTTTAGAATGACCAGCTAGATCCCCAGATCTTAGTCCTCTTGATTTTTTTCTTTGCGGACATTTAAAAAGTAAGATCTATGCAACCGAACCAGGATCTCTTGAAGAATTACGACAAAGAATTGTAGACGAGTGTTCTAAAATAACACCCGAAACTTTCCGAAGTGTAAGGAACCGTTTTGAGCAAAATTTGTATTATTGTATGGAGACTAGTGGTGCTCAATTCGAACATTTATTGAATACTTGATAACTTTTTCTTATGTTTGTTACTTTATTTGAAATAAATGTTTGTTTAGTTAATAAAAAAATGGATGAGTTTTTAAAATTTTTTGTTGTCTGTTGTATTCAGAATCGCAAAAACTTCATTGCAGAAAATGTCCCCCTTGAGATTAAAATCGACCTGTCCGAGCGATTTGCTTGGACAAACACGATAACTTCGCCGCTTCGTTTTCGTTGGGTCACCCTGTATTTATATATGTAATACTTCTTGATATATTTATCAAGAAAATATACTAATTTTAGGACATTTACATAAAATGTGTATGAATTTGCTATGTTGAACTTGATTTTGATTAATTGCAGTAGTGTGTTGATAATCCAAAACAATCAGGAAGGATGACACTTTTTTTTTTATAACTGATCACACCTAGTAGGAAAAGAATAGAAAGTTCTTAAATAAGATAGAAATATTAATTTTAATTCTAGTACAATAGTAAAACCAAGGTTAAGCCATAAAAATTTAAACTATACAAATAGTAAGAAATAATGATTTGTTTAATTTATTAAAAATGAGCAATAGTCTCATTGCAATCGGATGAAACTTTGAATTTAAAATTTAAAAAATTTCATAATAGTAAAATTAGCATTAAATGAAATACAGTACCCATGTAAAAATTACAATTTTTTGAAAGAAGTCACTTATTTTACTTTGTTTTACATAGTTGTAAAATAAATCAAATGTCTGTGAAGACTTTTCCTGAAACTGTAATGAAATAAATAAATAAAATGAAATGAAGTTTTTTCTTTTTAACTCTGCTACATTTCTTGCTTTCTTGATTTTCTTGACAGTTGAAAAATCTTTTAGATTTGCTTTTCTATGTCAGTGATGTTTTTTACATATGAAATGCTTTGCTGTGCATAGCTGTGAATAGGCATGTCAAAGCATTTAATACATTAGAAACCCATAACTTATTAATTGTGCTTTTCTACTTGTACTGTAATAAAACCTAACATTAGTGTTAGTAGTGAGGTGTATCAATAGTGGGCCTATGGAAGATCACTGATGGATGTTATTACGTAAAAACTTCATCATTTCTGGAATTAGTATTTTCTGAAGTCCATTTTAAGTAATTAATTTGTTAGATAATTGATTTTCTGATAATTGACAGTGTGATAATCCAGATGACCTCTAACTTATTTTTACATAAAATCAATCCCTATCATCATATTTAATTTTTACTTAAAAGTTATCTTAAATTTTATCATTTTTAAATATTTTTAATATAACCTAAAAAGGTTATAAACTTCAACATCCTACAAAAAATGCTCTATAATGCAACATTTAGCAAGAACTGAGGATGTTTTGCTTCCTTCCTCCACATATTCTATCTTAGAATTTTGCACACCACCTGGTCAAATGACACAACATTTCTGGGAATAATGATTAGGCAGAAAAGGTAGATAAAAAGGTGGATTTGGATAGACTTGGGGCAGTTCTTCCCAGAGACCTTGCCATAGGAGGGCAGTTCCTGCCAGATAGAACAGGCCATACGACCCCTCCTTCTAGCGTCTAGCATCGGGCACCGACCTACAAATAATCAGCTCATCCAGCATGACCCACAAGGTAATACGATTTATTGTGAACTTTCTCTCTCAGTAGAACAGATAGATCCTAGACTAGCGATAGGCTATAAGTCATGTATTTTCCATATTACTCATCTGCATTTTTATTATTTACTAGTGTTATTGTTAATTCTGATTAAATTGACGTTTTCTATATAAAAAGGACCTTCCTAGTATCTTTATTTATTCGTTATGCACAACCCCACATAGAATCTTACCACTCGGGTTCTGTTAAATTAAGCCATCCAGTGACAAAGTGAGCAGGTCTAACAGATCTGACGATTAGAGGGCCTTGACCCTCGTCCGTATTCTCACAACAGTCTACTGTAATTCCATACACATAATAAATTGCAAATCAGTTGGATTTTGACTTACCTGACATATGATAAATATATATTTTTTTCTTTTGGTTCTCATTTATAGAATTGAATTTATTTTGATTATGAATTGCACTTTCTGTTGAGTCATTGAATATGAATTATGTATGGTCCAACAACATTGGCTGAATAAATATGCTATAAATTTTTCAATAGAATGGAACCTAACCAGTTCCTGTGAAGTAGAACAAAATGTTATTTAACCTATTCAATGTTGAAATTTTTCTCCATTGCATGTGGCGTCGTATTGAATTTTTGCCGATGTTAAGCCTAACAAAAATTTCACGTTTTTGAAAAAATAATCATGGCTATTATATTGCCTGAAATTATTTTTTTATTTTACACAAACAAAATAAATATATTAATAAATGTAAAAACAAAAAATCATATTTCGGAAGTTAGTTTTAATATAAAAATTATAATAACTAGTGACATCTAGTTTTAAAAACGTTCTGATGTCGAAACAAGATATCTCGGGTCAACTAGTGAAGGTCAGCAGGTTGTGACCCGAGATATGTCGAAAATAACACTGGACAGGTTAATGTAATCTATCTTTTTGATATCTCTTTTTAATCTATCTTTATATGTTGCTTATATGCTATTACAAATTTGTGCACTCTTTTGTTTTGTTATCCATGTGTAATGCAACACTGTTCATGACTTTTACATGCACAGCATGACACAAGGACAAATGGCACATGCTTAATGTTGCTTTCATTGATTATCTGTGATCACAGAAGTAAAGGCATTAAAATATTGCATGAGTATGGACTCTTAAAAAAAGGGGTTTCCTTTTGGGGATTTAATGAAAAAAGAGCTTGAATTTTTTGTGGACATGTTTTGAAAAAAATAATTGAGGTAGTAAGATTTAAAAAAAAAATACCAATATGGATAATAAAACAGACTTTAATAAGTATGTTTTGTTATCCTATCTACCGTATTTTGACGAGTAAAAGTCACACTTTTTTTACTACTTTTCGGGGCTCAAAATCATGGTGCGTCTTATACTCGACAGGTAACCATTTTTACAGTGAAATTACCTACAATAGTGATGCACTGTAGGGACCAACCTGTGCAGTGGTCCGTTAAGCGGATGGTCCCTCAACCGAATGGCTAGAGTACCTAGATTATCAGAGTAGTGACACACAAGTCATCGCCGCCATGTTCTGTCGACTGTCATCACGTGACCTCTGAGTTTACATTAAGAAATGACGATTATTTCAGTTTAATAAAGGTATCGATTCACCCATCTGCCATATTCTTGAATAAAAAAACGAATAAAATGCATCTTTAGACAATCTTATTAAAACAGTTTTTTTATAAATTTTTTGTCTCAAAATAGGGGTGTGTCTTATACTTGACAGCGACTTATATTCGTCAAAATACGGTATTCAAACACTAGAATTAATGGAAAAATGAACAAAATGGGTAACTGTAGAAGTTAATTTATCTGATTTTGTTTTATCATATATAAGCTTGATCTAACAGAAAAATTAACATGGTTAACTTATTAACATGTAACTGTTTTTTTATCCCATCTATTTACACATTAGACTGACCCCAATCAACTAATTTGTGAGGTCCAAATATGAAACTGGCAGGCATACTGCTGGTCTGGATCATGTATTCACTGTTAAACTGTTAAACTGATGGTAGGAAAAGAGAGAGAGAGAGGAAACATCAGTTATGTTGTTGGCTCTACACAGGTATACATAATATATGCTGTGCTTGTTGAAAGTAAGCATAAAGTTGTTTTGGAAAACTTATCATACAGGAACAATAAAGTGATTGATCAAACAGTCTTTATTAACTAAAAAAAATGCATTTCAGGCTATTTGACCCTCATCAGTCCTTATTTTATACACATCTGATAAAATGAAACAATTGTGACCGAAGGGTCGGCACCTCTTTGGTGCCCTGTCAGGATGACACCACTGCGTCTCGGCGGACACGGAAGCCGCGTTATTTTGGTCACGCGAGCGGTCGCGTAACGGAGCGATCAGAGTCGAGATAGGAGGAGAGACAGCGCACCGGAAGGGATTTACTCAGACGCTTTTTTAACGTAACAACTGTTTAATGGTTAACGATAGGATATACATTAGNTTTTCAAATTCCAATAATAATTTCAAAAAATACTTTATGGTAGTGTGGTTATATTCTCTGTTTTTCATCTATCCTTAATCTTGAGAACAGATAGAAACAGAATGATAAAAAGAAAATATATGTAATTATTGAAACTGTATTTATAAATTTTAAACATTCTGAAGCAATTATTGGGTTGATGTGAAAGTTTTTGGAATTTTCTAGACCTTTGTAGAATATTTGAAATTGTTCTCTGGCAGATGGCATTTAGAAGTTTCCTGTGGAGTATGTTATGTAAATGAAGGGTGTTTGAGGTGCACAATCTTAAGTTAAAAGATATTCTATGTGATGAAATATATACAAAAATGACCAACTTTGTTGTGTGGAGGCATGCACTGAACTTTTTTCTAAGAAACATTTCTATTTTTGGCTTGATGCCATCATTACAGGAGTTGAAAAATAGTGCTTGTACAGGTATCTTATTTTAAAGTGCAAAAGGTCATGGTTGGACATCAGTCAAGCAGTACAGGCTGTGCCAAACTGGAAGTGCATTAGCACAAGGTTATGCTATGTACAGTACAGTATTTACTGGAGTGTTTGTGAATCAGTCTATTGGGAGATGCTTCCATGAGTATCACTATAATTTCCAAAATCTACTATGCTCAGCTGCAACATTGATTGATGCTATACATACTAAGTGGCCACAGATGAACATTGTGTGCTTTCTTTATTACAATGCAAGACCACATGTGTCAAGGCTGACCCTGCAGAAGCTGCTTGATTTTAGCTGGGAGGTTCTCTTTCACCCCTGTATAGCCCAGACATTGCACCATCCAACTTCCATCTCTTCTGTACCATGCAACATTTCTTGGATGGAAAGCAATTTGCTGATGATAAGGAGATGAAAATTGTACTTTCAGAGTTTTGAGTCTAACAGTCTGAGTTTTATTCAGCAGAAATCTGTGATCTGCCAATTAATGGAAGAAGGTGCTTTTGAGTGTAATGGCAATTA